TATATATTTATATTTACTATTTTATACTATTTAATAAATTTTTTAGTCATGTAATTAGCAATATAAGTTTTTATTTTTTGACTGTCTAATTCCGACTTTTCCAATCATAGACCATCATACATGCACATCCACACACACCCCTGTCCTTTTGTCACCAGGAAACCTGAGCTGCTGCTAATTGTGGTGCTGGCAGGATGCCGTAGCCATTATGGGCCGTCATGTGCAGCGGGCTCTCGTAGAGAACTGTGGCTAGATGAGCCGCCACTGCACCACAGTGTGGACGGCTGCCAAAATGAGCTCAGCAACCTCTTTGGTGTGCCCTTTGGGTCAGCTTACACAGCAGCGCACCGTTCTGCTGAAATCCCTGAATTAATGCAGAGAGGGAAGAAGAGGGGGAGGAATGACTCAAGCGAAAAAGGAGGTACACAAAATGGTGCTCACTTTTATTTGCTGTGTCAGAATGGGGCAGTCCAACACAAGAGGGTTTACAAATGGTGGTGAAATGTGAGAATGTTTGGGGGGAGGGGTGACAGTCCTGTCCATGTCATGTGTTCACTTTCATTCATTTGGTGGTCTTCAAACAGACTTGGGTCCAATAGTGCGCCCCTTTCTTTTAGGTTCAGGGTATTTCAGTCTCTGGGTTGTGTCAGCTCTTCACTTTTTGACCTTGCCCTGGGCGGCCACAGCCTCCATGGCTTTGCGCACTGTTTCCTCGTCTCCCAGGAACTGCATGGGTTTGATGGGCTTCAGGTCCTTGTCCAGCTCATAGACGATGGGAATGCCTGTGGGCAGGTTCAGCTCCATGATGGCTGCATCTGACATGCCTGTAGACACAGGTGAACATCTTGTCACATATATACACTGAGGTTTCAAAGCCTTGACCTTTCCTTGACCCCTGTGATCTTTACATTTTACAGTGCATCACTCTCTAGGGAGAATGCAGAACCTTTCTGCTGAAAGGTTGTGCCTGTAATAGAAACCTCCTAATCTCTTCTATGTATGAATGAGGGCTATAAATAGTCTCTGTATCATCTGGGATCATTGAAGCATGGTGGTCAGACACGCTATGTGTTTCTGAATGCTATATGTTTTGTTCCTTGATATGCTCAGCTAACTTGCAGTTTTATTATATAACACATCACTCGCCTGCTTAAGTCCCTAAATAGTCTTTAAACTAAATGCTTGGTGGGATGATACTCACTCTCTAAGTGCTTGACGATACCACGGAGGCTGTTGCCGTGGGCTGCTATTATGACGTTTTTGCCGGCCTTGATCTCAGGTACAATAACCTCATTCCAGAAAGGCAGGGCACGAGCGATGGTGTCCTTCAAGCTCTCGCAGATGGGAAGCTCACCCTCTTTCAGACCCTTGTATCGTCTTGACTGGTAAAAGAGGAATGGAACATGATCGAACTTGCAGCCATGCCATCATCAGTTTTTACACAAAAACTGACATAGAAGTGACATAAAAGTAAAGTGTCACATGCATGAATGAATTATGGTATATATATATGTGTGTGTGTGTGTGTGTGTGTGTGTGTGTGTCTGTCAAATTTACTTAATATTTTTTATATTTATCTTTAACATCTTTCTCTTACCTCACTGATGATCTTGTGGTATTGATGGTCCTTATCCATAGGGGGAGGGGGAATATCGAATGATCTGCGCCAGATCTTGACCTGCTCCTCTCCGTGCTTGGCTGCCGTCTCTGCCTTGTTCAGACCAGTCAGACCACCGTAGTGACGTTCATTCAGACGCCAGGTGCGCACTACAGGCAGCCACATCTGGTCTCTGACCTCCATGATGGTCCACAGAGTCTTGATAGCGCGCTTCAGAACGGAGGTGTAGCACACATCAAACTTCATGCCTGCATCTTTGATGGCTTGAGCACCACGCTCAATAACCTCATTCCAGAAAGGCAGGGCACGAGCGATGGTGTCCTTCAAGCTCTCGCAGATGGGAAGCTCACCCTCTTTCAGACCCTTGTATCGTCTTGACTGGTAAAAGAGGAATGGAACATGATCGAACTTGCAGCCATGCCATCATCAGTTTTTACACAAAAACTGACATAGAAGTGACATAAAAGTAAAGTGTCACATGCATGAATGAATTATGGTAGAATTAAAGGTATGAATAGTTTTATATATAAATAGTTTAATATTTATTATATTAAAAAAAAAAATATATATATATATATATATATATATATATATATATATATATATA